GTCAGGTAGTCCTACTAATAATGAATTGTCTGTTTTTGTTTACCTGTAAGTGTCTTCATTTTCCTTAATTTTTTGAGCATATATTTTAGGTGTTCTGAAGACGTTTTTTTTTTTTGGTGAAATCTGTTATCTGGTCATTTCCACAGACAGTTTGTGTAGCCTTGAATTTTTTTTCTCATGATGCATGAGTTATATTTTTCTGTTTCTTGCATGTCTCATAATTTTTATTGGAAAGTGGGTGTTTTAGATAGTATATTCTAGCAATCCTGGGTACAGTCCCCTCCTCCCCAACCAGGGATTATAATTTTAATTTGTTATTTAGTGGATTATTTAGTCGCTGGGTTATTTTGATGATGATATATTGTCCCCCTTCTCCCACCTCCCAACCAGACAGTGTTAAGCCTGTGACATTACTCCTAAGCAGGCCCAATCTGGATATATACCCAAAATCACCCTGGGGTGACAATGCCATTCTCTCTCACTTTTGGAGTTTTTAAACTCTATTTGTTATTAGCTGATTGCTCTATTGTTTCCAACAATTACAATGAGGTTGTACAACACATCCATCCAATCAAATATGGCTCCTTGGAAGGGATAGTTTCTGAGTTCTGTGTTTAACATTTGTTCTGACCCCATGAGGGTTCCTCCCATCTATTCCGTGATTGTCTCTTAGAGATGCGTGAACCTGACAGTCTCGGCTGTGTTTCCTTTAAATCCTTGAGTCTCCTCCCCAATCAATGCCTTTTTATTTCACACTATTTTATTTATGTATTTTTATATATGTATATTTTACATCATTCTTCATTTTGTACATTTTTCATCTTGGTTGTAATCCCCATGAAGTTCCCATCACCAACTCCCCCATGTGCCATCACCATAGTCCCGTGTGCTCTTCCCACCCCAGTTTTGATCCTATTCCCCTCTTGGCCCTGCAGAATGTCTCTAGTTTATAGTTGTTTGTTGATTTTAGTTTTTACTTTCTTACGATTATTCCCCCCCCCCCCCTGATCCCTTGCACTCTTGCATGAGCGAAACCATCTGGTAATTTTCTTTCTTTCTCTCTGGCTTCTTTCACTATCCACGATCCCTTCCAGCTCCATCCATATTGCCGCAAATGGCATGAATTTATCTTCTTTGCCAGTCATTGCCTTTTACCGAAACTTTCACTGTTCTTGACAGTGTCCTTTGTTTTGAACCTCTCCATGCTCTGTAGAAGTCATTTCCTTGGGAAGAGATAGGAGCTGTCCCCTATTTAATACAGCTTGCTTCTCCCTGCAGGCAAAAACCTCTTGAGCCTGGGCTCAAGAGCTATGGTGTGGGCCTGAGCTCAAGAGCTATGGGGTGGGCACAGTGACAAGCTCCTCTGAGTCATATCCTTGCTGAAATTAAGGTGATCACTGAAGGGTAGTGGCACCAACTTGAAGGTCCATCTGCTTGGCTGTCCCAGTATGGAGTGACCCCCTTGTGAACTGAGGTGAGGATGAGGGTCCCAGTATCCTCAGTATGTATGCACTCCAGTAGGACCTCACTTCTGTAAGTGGGGGCTGAGCAGCAGAATGGACCCCATGTGTCCAACAGTGCTTAATTGGAATTAGCCTCAGCAACAGGCAGCGACGGGGAGAATTGGAAATGCTGAAGTTCTGCCTCTGTTTGGAAGAGGCTTTCAATGATAGTTTGGGGAAAAGAAGCCTTCTCAGCAACAGCCTCAGTCATGGCTGCACTGGAAAAGGGAGGGAGGAAGAGGCAATACCACACACTTGCCTTTCTCACTAATTCTTTCGCGTGAATTTTCTTAAATATATTTCTTTATATGCTGTTTACTTTTAGACTATTAACAGACACTTTAAATACTTATTTTAAAAATATTTTTTGCTAGTGTCACTCGGGAGCAGACCAGTGGAGATCTTTGCATTCATGCCAGAAGTTGATTTTCCTTCTTCATTTTCAAGGATAGTTTTGTTGGACATAGAATTTTTGGATGATTATCTTCATCTTTAAGTTTAAATATTTAATCTTTCTGCCTTTTACCTCCATGGTGGTTTATTTAGCTCAGTATCCATAACAAATATAGACTGGGTGGCATAACTAGGCAGAAATTATATTTTCATAGTCCTAGAGCTAGAAAATTCCAACCTGGTTATGTCCATCTCTTTATTAATACCTTCTGTTCTGTGACACATCATTTTCATGCTTTCCTTTAATTATTTAGACATGGGTTCCTTTAGTTTTTTTGAAGATATTAAAAAATAGGTAAACTTCTCTTACTATTTATAATTACAGATTCTTTAATGTTTCTTCTATTGGCAATTATGTAGTCTATAAATAATAAATGTTGTGTCTTTCCTATTCTGCTTTATATACCATTTCTTTTTTACTAACAGCAGTTATTATTACTATTATTTTTGCATTGGCTATTACCTTTGATAAGTCTTAACTAGGAGAGGTGATAGTAGGTATTCTTGTTCCTGATTTCAAGTGACTGCTTCTAACATTTTACCATTAAGAATAATATTTGCTGTAAGATTTGAATAGATTTTCTTTTATCAGTTTAGGCAAATTCCATTGAATTCCTATTTTGCTAAGAGATTCCTTAAAAATTAGATCATGAATATGTATTGAAATTTATCATTTTGCTTTTCCATGTCTATTGAAATGGGCAAACTTAAATGTGAATGATACAGAGTGTCTCATATTAAATTATGCTTGAATTCCTGGAATAAGCCCAATTTAGTCAAGATGTATTATCTTTTTATATTCTACAAGACTAGATTTGCTAATATTTTCATTTATGATTTTACTTATGTTCAGATTGCGATTGGCCTGTAATTTTCCTTTCTCATATAGAAGAGCGTATATGTGATGGGGTTATTTGTTCCTTGAAAGTTTAGTAGAGGCCTTGTGTGTGTGTTTCTTTTGTGTGTGGGAAATTTTAAGACTACTGGTGAAATTTCTCTAGTGATTTTACAAATATTTAGACTTTATTTTCTTGAATTAGTTTTTTTAATTTATACCGTTATCCATTCAAAGTTTTCCAATGGCAAAGTGTTAGTATATTTTGACATAGACAAGGAAGTTTTCTGTTTGTGTGTATGACTAACCTTACCATGCATTTCTGGTTGGCTGCCTTTTTACTTTCTCCAACAATTATTATTTTTTTTTAAAGATTTATTTATTTATTCGTACAGAACTGGGGTACAGGCCAGAGATGCGGAGGGTGAGAAAAAGATTTATTTATTTATTCGTACAGAACTGGGGTACAGGCCAGAGATGCGGAGGGTGAGAAGATTCACCAGAGACAGAACGGGGAGCAGAACAGGCAGATCGACGAAGTACACTGCTGAGGGAACAGTGGGTGGGTCAGGAGAGGTCTGCCATGCCATGTGGATCTCCTCCGGGGCAGGCGGGGATTGAACTCATGTTGAAGTGGCTTAAGCTTCTTAGTGCTGTGCTTTAACCCGCTGCGCCACCAGGGAGGGCCTCCAACAATTATTTTTAACCTTTTCCTCTTTCTTTTTTCGACTCTCAGTTAAGACTTATTCATTTCCTATTCCTCTCAGCAGTTGACATTGACTGTTTTTAATTTTTAATTTTTTTTAATTTTATTATTTTTATTTTTTTTTAAGATTTATTTATTTGTGCATACAGAACTGGGGTACAGACCAGAGGCTCAGGGGCGGCGAGAGGCTTCACCAGAGACAGAGTGGGGAACAGAACAGGCAGATCAACGAAGTACACTGCTGAGGGGAGCAGCGGGCGGGTCAGGAGAGGTCTGCCACGCCATGTGGTCACCTCCGGGGCAGGCAGGAATTGAACTCATGCGGAAGCGGCTTTAGATTCTCAGTGCTGTGCTTTAACCCGCTGCGCCACCAGGGAGGGCCTATTTTTTAATTTTTTAATAAAAGATTTATTTATTTGTGCATACAAAAACTGGGGTACAAACCAGAGGTGTGGGTAGGGTGAGAGAATTCACCAGAGACAGAGTGTGGAACAGAACAGACAGATTGAAATAACACTGCTGAGGGGAGCAGTGGGCGGGTTGGGAGAGGTCTGCTGTGCCATGTGGGTCACCTCTTTGGCCGAGAATTGAACTCAGGCTGCAGTGGCTATGGATAGCTTCATAGTGCTATGCTTTAAGTCACTGCACCACTACCTATTTTTAATTTTTTTTTTTTTTTTTACAAAAGACATTGCCATTATCAGAAGAGAACTTCCACACCATTCATTACCAAAGCTAAACTTCCCTATTGCCACCTACTCTTTTCTCCCAAGGTTAAAAGACCAGCTATCCCCATGCTTCCCTCCTCTCTTCTTTCCCTCTCTCTCTCCTCTTCACCCCTCCATCTTCAACCTTTTGTGTTTATCTTGTTGTCTTCCAGAAACATTTGGAAAATGTTTATGTCAAAACCATAGGAAAAAAAAATAACAAGCACTCCTTCCTTCTACTCTCCAATCGCTCTCCAGTTACCAGCCCCTCCCTCTATCTTTCTCTTTCCACTGCTCAGGCAGATCTCACATGAATTGTTCAGATTTAGTCTCCATTTCCTTACCTCTTGCTCATTCCCAATTTTTACTTTACCACCAACTTACCATTGACATGCTCAGCAGAATCTTTGGATGTCACCAAATACAGCTGAAATATATGGTCTTTATCCAAGTGACTTGTCCATGGCATTCAACAGCCCATGTACAAGTGCACACGCTCACACTTATTCACACTTACACACTTCTTTAGCTCTTATTTGGTTAATGTCAATTATAGAGGGTCTGCAATGTTTCATTGAAATAACTGTATTTCTCTTAAAACCAATTTATTGTAAGATCATCACTTATATAGTGATGTACTAATTGTGTAATTAAGTGTAATGAATTACTTTTACCATTAAAAGTAATTATAGTAATTACTGCTCATATTAGTATTATCTATTTTTGGTGTATATTCATCTTTATTTCTCCTTTGTATTTTAATTAAGACAAATTGATTAAAAATATTATGCATAGGTAGGTTATATTATTTCTGAATTTCATTTTAGACTAGGAAGAAGGGATTTTCAAATATTTGTTAGAAGAAGTTGGTACTGGTCTGGTAGGATTGAGTTTCTACTCTGATGGTGCCAACTTCCCCTTTGTAAAGAAATCCGAGAAGTGACCCAGAGCAAGAGGGCTACACTTCCAAGGGCTCACTTCATAGCTTTTGGAAAAGATTCAGCTTGTCCAATGAAAGAATGATTGTTCTAATATGAGTTCTTTTGATTGCTACTTCATTCTTATGTGAACTGCCTGAATAATGGATATTTTCCATCTATTTTATCAGTTCTTTTTGAGCTTAACTGTCCCAGCATTGTGTGTGGGAGGACACAGTAGAAAAACAAACCTTCAACGCAAGACTTTTTCCTGTTGAAAATTATTTGTAGTGAAGTTGTTTTCTGACTAGGGTTCTTTCTTTGGAAAAACCTTATCATGGACTCAAAATGGCAAGGTCGTCTTTTGGTTATTGTTCCCAAGAAATGGTTTTTAGCTACTGGACTGCTTTCTGCACATGGGTTTCTTTCTTCCCCCTCCCTATGCAGTAACACAGGTCTGGTTGCAGTGGGAAACTTCACCGCATGTTAGGTGGGTGGTCTCTGAAGAGTTCCTGTTTTCCTGATGGCTTCAGGGCCTCTGTGGGGGGAGGCAGGGCGCATCTTGCAGGGTGCATGAGAGTGAGGTGTTTCCTCCCCCTGTCTTTGAGAATGAGGGTGGCAGCAGCATGGCCAGTACACAGAGGCATCGCTTACCAGGGCAGCTGGGGGACCCCTAGGGAAGATGAATGGCACCGGGAGATCAGTGTACACTGTTTTGCAGGCTGTGGATTACAGTACAGCAGAGACAAAGGGAGCCACCTGAGCCCTTGTTACTCAGAGCATCCGGGTATGTACACCGTCGGTCACCTGGGAGCTTATTAGCAAAGCGCAGTCTCAGCCTTGGCACCTGTATTTGAACAAGGTCCCTATGTGACTCAGGCCCACGTTGTACTTTGAGAAGCACAGCTACTCCAACCTATATTCAGGGCTGCAGCCTCCAGGCCACAGTACAGACACTGCTCCCTCCAGGATGCCTTCCCCGCCCCTCTTTGGGCCTTGGTGCTTCTTCCACATCCCACCCCTTTGTTACTTGGAACTCGCCTGGGTCCTTACTTGCTTGTCACTGCAGGTCTGTTCTTTGGGTGGGAGTGGGAGGGCAGATCTCACCCAGACCAGCCACGTGCACCTGCCTGATGTGACTCAAGCTCCATTCAGCCTTTGGAGCCAGAACTGAACGAATGGGTGGGTGATCGACACAGCAGCAATAAAAGCCTGAAATCCAGAGAAGCTTTGTTTATTTTTGCTGCTTCTTAGACAAGCTCTAGAAGGTAAAAAGAAAAATACACAGACTTTTTCAGTGGTGTAGATTTTAAACATCCACCTCCAGCCGTGGCATGTAGGATTTCCAGAACACATTTGTTCAGGCACTTTTGTGCCCAGAGGCACGTAGAATTTACCAGGTTGTAAACACTGAGTCGCTCTCTTGGGGGTGTTGTGGTCAGCTGCCAGGTGAGGTAGGGAAGAGCAGCAGCAGACACCAGACCAAGGCCCAGAAGGCCACCTGCCTCTCTTGAGCTGATTGTCCAGCTGGTGGGAGCTAGGCTTCTGCTGCCTCTGATCCTTCCAGGGCCCCCCACTCCTCCTGGTCCTTTCTCCCTGATGAGCACCTGCAGCAGGAGACTGGCGGGGCAGAAGAAGGAGCATGCGAGCTTTGCTCTGGATCAGATCTTTGGTATAAGGAACCACCCCAAGCACAGAAAGGGGGCAGCCAGTACTGACTGCGGCTGGCACCCTTGACAGGTTCCAGATGTCATGTTCAGCAGGAAACTGATGGGCCCTCATTTTGCCAAGCAATTGCTAAAACCTCTGCTTCGCTGCCTCCTATTCAGCAAGCCTCTGTGAGGGCCATGGCTGCCTTGCCATCAGGGCCAATTTAGGAGACTTGCTACTGTTGCTGAACGTGGGAACGGGCAGGTGGAAAACGTGTAGGAAGCAGGCAGCTTCGCCTGCACTGCCTGGCCTCCATCAGTCACTGGCCTAATGAGATATTCTTGCACTCAGCTTTTTCTGCTTTTCACTAAGGGTCCCTAATGCACTTCACAGACATGAGCTCATGAAGCTTCACTGGAAGAGACAGGGAGCTTCTTCTCCTACTCCTATCTGACCAGCCTCTGCTGGTTTGACTGTTCCATGATAAGATACCCTCTGGCCGGGGCGCCCTAAGAAGTAGAAATGTGGTCATCACCCCTGTTCAGGGTATAGTTCCCTGCGTGTTTCACTGAGGTCTTCCATCAAGCCCTCGCCCCTCTGTGCCCCTTTTCTTTTTTTTTGGTGGAATGACAGATCCCCCAGTTCTGCCAGGGTTTGGGAGTTTAGCCCAGAACAGCTGTTTCTCTACAAGGGAAGTAAAAACAGTTTCATTGTGAGTCAGTGAGGAGTGGCATCTGTCATGAGGACATGCATGTTGCCACCCCCTGGTGGTGGTCCAGCCTCTTGTGCTTTGGGGCAGCAGTGTTTCATATTGTGGCTTGGGCAGAAGAGACCCCTCCTCCCCGCCAGCTATTCTGAAATGGAACCATCCATTAGGAGGAACTTGGAGCCAGTATGGTTTCCCAGACATTGCCAGGCAGGTTCTCTGCCCAGCGACAGTTGAGGACATGGGAAAAGGCCATGGGTGTTCCCCCACAGGACCAATTTAATGATGAGTATTGGTCCTTCAGCCAGTGATGATGAATGGACCCTCCTACGCAGGGTCCCTAGACGACGACTCGGCTGTGAGGCTGAGTGTATTCTTGTCACCCCCTCCTCCACCGGACTGACTTTTACAGGGTCTGTTCGAGGCTTTCCTGGAAGACATTCAAACTAATGATCTAAAAAGGTGAGAAGGCACAGCGGTTTAGAGAATGGTCATCACCAACTTAAAGGAGGGAAGGAAATTACACTTGTTCTCAAGATGGGTTCATTAGTGGGTCCAACAAGGAGGTGATTTCACACTCCTGCAGGTAGATCAGTTTGCAGCTGCTGGGGTGACTTCTTTCAGGGGAAAAAAAAATCTGCCCAGATTAGAGAAGATTAGGGGGTATAGATTCAGTGCCAACCCCATATCTTCCACCACCCCCTATCTGCAAAAGATAGACCTCCTTCAGAGGGCTGCCAGGGCAGTTGCTGGACTCCCCCCACCCAGGCCCTTGCCCTGCCTCCTGACAGTGCCATAGGTGAAGGGGGGGAGGGGCACACCCCCTACTCACTGGCAACTCTTCAGTGCTGAGCACCTCAATAGGGCTCCAGGCAAAACTGCTGTCTCTCTGTCATCACAAAAGCTTGGAAAGTGGCAAAAGAGGAGCAGGGAACACAGAAGGATCCAATCCACCAAGCTACAAGCCTCACTGCTTTCTCTGTGCAAAAAACGTGTGTCTCTCTGCAAATGTCCACATAGTGTGAGCAGATACACTTCTAACACCTGACACTGGCTTTGCAATCGATATGCTGCAATCTCAGGGACTCAGCTTTTTAGCTATGAAGTATAATTGTGAATTCTGGCATAGATAAGAAATAGATATCAACATAAGTATCACACACATGTGTGTGTTATTCTGAATATCACCGAATGAATACATTTGCATTCCAGGAGCTCAGGCCTCCAAACACCAGCTGCTTGCACACAATCACATCATGGGCACCTTTAGGAAAAGGAGCCCCAGTGGCTCCACTGGCCGGCATCTGGCTTGCAGAGGCGGGGTGGGCACCTCACACGTGGCTGGTCTTCTGGGCCAGGGCAGGGTTCGTCGGCAGTGTGAACCTGACAGTGCTGTCCTTCTCCCAGCCCCTGCGGATCTTGGTGAGTCTGCGGCTGAAGCAGGGCAGGAGGAACAAGCCTTTCGCCAGGATGACCACACAAGGCACCAGCAGCGTGAGCGTGAAGGTCGGGGGCAGGTAGAACTTGTAGTAGCTCTCCTCAAAGGCACGGGTCCAGCCATAGGTAAGCGTGTGCAGAGTGCTCAGCAACAGGGCCACAAAGCCCAGCGTGGACTGTGGAACAAAAGAAGCGTGCAATGAGGGCCCGCGACAGGCGACAGTAATTCCACCAACAGCCGTCTGCTTGCCTGACAGAGGGGAGGGAAGGCGAAGAGGGTGGCTTCCGAAGCCATTGCTCTGGGTTCGAATCCCCGCTCTGGCTTTATTATCTACGGGATCTTTTGTTAATTGCGATTTAGTAATTGCTTATGTGGCAAGAGAAATAATTCCTTACTCCAGTTATCATATTTTGTAGTTCAGGAACGTAGGGACAAACTTCTTTGAAACTCAACTCATCAAATTTGTTTTATGTTCCAAAATCACTTTGCACTCTGAAAAATACCATCTCAGAATGTTTCAAGCAATCAGAATTTCTGTAGAAACGTCTATATGCCTTCTTTGATGGGTCAGCCTCAGCAAACTTATAACAAGTTGTAACCCCCGGGGGTACAGTGAGTGCTTCACCAACACAGAATCACAGGTACTCAGCCAGAGGCTCTATCTGAGCACTGGAAGCCATGATAGTCATTCTCCTAACAGTGAGATCCCTCCAGACTCTGCATGATCTTAATTTTCCCTAGTCATAAGCTTCAGAAAAATGGGCCTAGTGTGCCTTTCTTGAAGGTATATGAGGATTGCTTGATTCATAAGGATTCATCCAATTTTTCCCAAGCTGACATTCATACCTCCAGTGGCTGCCAGAAGACTTACATATCAAGTTTAAAAACATTGACTTATTTGGTGTTTATTTAATGTATATTAGAGTAGCAAGTATGTGCCAGCAGACCCAAATCATAATGCCACAGATAAAACCTGATCTAAGATAAAGCCAGCTAAAAAACTGAATTGATTTTAAGCTGATTTAAAGTTAAACACGAAGTGAAAAATTGACACGGCACATGGACTTTGTGCAGTAGTGCAGAGGGCTTGCAGGGGGCTGCAGCCTGGGTAAGCTGAGCCTGGACATAAAACTCAGGACATAGCAGATGCCCTCTGTGGCTGGGCATCCCCCCCTGCCCAGCCTAGGTGGAAAATGTGTCAGGATGACTCTCCTGCCCAGAGGAGATTAAAGCCCTGGGCCGATCAGGGGCGTCACATCCCACATGGAAACAGCCTGGACCATCTTACAATGGAGCACCCCTCACCTGAACCCCCTGTGGCGTTATGGGTTGCATCTGGCCAAGAGCAAGTCCTCCATCAGCCCATGTGCCACAGAAACATGACTTTCTATGGGAATTGTGATGTGTCCATGAGAAGAGCTGCCCTAGAAATGCCAAACTCTGGGAGTCCATTTGTATATCAGATTTCTTGTGGGCTACCAGTGAGGCTTTCTCATTCTGCTGGTGCTGGGCTCCACTGACATCGTGGCCCTGGGCAAGTACTTAGTCTCAGTGAGAAGTAAGCGGCTCCAAAAGCTAAAGTCAGAGATTGGGGAAGTGCTGCATAGATGCTCCACATTCCAGACCCCAGAGGAGGTGGGCAGGATGGTGAGGCAGGCAGGATGGAGCGCAGAGGGCAATCAGGGCTAGGGCTTGCAGGGGAGGGTATTCTGGATGGGGCAGTTCTGACTGAAGTCGTAAGCACGGAGGGGCTGATATTACATAAGGGATGAAAATGGCAGCGACCCATCAAGCAATGAACACATACGCATTTTCTCCAAGGAGGCACAACAGGACCTCAGGGTACTTTTCATAGGTTGGTTTTGAGCTTTGCACAGAGAAGCTGTAATTGTGCTTTCTGGATTTCCTTCCAGCTTGGCTTGTCAGCATTGATCCAGGGGCTTGGCTGAGAAATGCTGTCTTGTTTGCATTCCCCTCAGACACATTTTTAAGTGGGTCTGATTCTGCTACCATGTCTCCTTCTCCTGCTTAGTCAGGGCAGGTGATGGTGAGGGGGGTGTGTTGCCGTAGCTCTATTTTTACAAACAGAGTACAAACACCAGTACAGTAATGGTAAGTGGAATAACACGGCTGGGAAGAACTGCTTATAATGCCTTTACTAAAAATAATGCCAATAAACATTTTCTAATGACTGTATACTTTAAGTGTGTGTGCATGTGTGTGTGTGTTTGCAGGTTCACTAGTACATTTTTGACCCTAAATATAATACTCCTTCCTAGACATTCTCAGTTTTGTGACCACTTCTAGGATCTTTTTCTCTCATCCTTAATAACTTCCAGCTCAATGTTCCCCATCAGGAAGGGCCACGGTTAGCTCTGTGCTACTATATTTTACTCATATTTAAATGGTCAGCTCCCAAATAGAAGCCTCCTTGTGAGACACATGCAACAAAACCCCTGTCACTTCCATACATGTCTATCAAGAATTCCAGTTCTCATAGATTCTTCTGAGCCACCCAACCTTTTCCATGTTCTGATCTTGATATTAACTTTGAAGACTGGGTTTAAAAAGATCCATATGGAGAAAATATTTACAAAGCATATTGATAGGGGACCAATTTCCAGAAGCTATAAGGAATCCCCAATTTAAATAACCCAATTCAAAAACAGGGAAAGGACTTGAATTGAAATTTCTCCAAAGAAGAAATGAATGACTCAGAGAACACATAGAGATGCTTGACTTCACTAATCATCAAGCAAATGCAAGTCAAAATCACAATGAGATACCACGTGGCTACTATCAAAAACTCAAAGTAACAAGTGTAAGGAGAAACTGGATCCTGTGTGCACTGTTAGAAGGTATGTAAAATGGTATGACTGCGTTGGAATACAGTATCATAGCTCTGTAATGAATTAAAAATACAGTTATGGTGTGTCCTCAACAATTCCATTTCTGGGTATCTACCCAGAATAACTGAAAGCAGTGTCTCAAAGAGATATTTATACACAATGGTCACAGTTGCATTATTCCTAATAGCTAAAATGTGGAAGCAACTCAAGTAGTATTTGAGGTATGAATGGAAAAGGAAAATGTGGTATATACATCAATGAAATATTATTCAGCCATAAAAAAAGTTCTGATATCACATTGATGAACCTTGAGGACATTTTGCTAAGTAAAATAAACCAGTCACAAAAACATAAATACTGTATGATTCCACTTCTATGAAGTGTCTATATGAGATAGTCAAAAACATAGAGACAGAAAGTAGAATGGTGGTTACCAACAGCTGGGGGAAGGATAAAATTAGTAGTTATTTTTGAGTGTGTACACAGATTTAGTGTTGTAAGGTGAAAAATTTAGAGATGGTTGATGGTGATGGCCCCACAAATTTATATACTTTATGCCACTGAACTGTATTGGGCACTTATTAATGATAAAATGGTGACTTTTATTATGTATATTTTGACACAATTAAAAAAAAATTGAAGCAATAAATTCTGAACAAACCTGACAACTATCTTGATGCTTCCCAACCAGCTGCCCAGCCCCTATTCTTCTGGATTTACAGGGGCTTGCTGAGATGGCTAGGAAATGGTTAAAGTGCTTTAAGCCCTTTCACCATAGTCTAAGATTATGGTTTTCAAATCCGGCAACACCTTAAAAGCACTTGGGGAGAGCACGGAAAAAATATCAATGTCTCAGAAGTGGGGGACATTTGCTCGTAATGGCTCAGGCATTAGTAGCTCTTGAGAAGTTCAGTGGTGATGCTCTCGGCAGCCACTAATATAGGAGGTTCTCATCACTCAAGCTGTTTTAGCTTTAGGTTGAACAGTCCTCATGGACTCCTCTGCCCAGGAGATTTGATTGGGGTGGACCCAATCTATCTCTTCCTTTGATAAGGACCCACCAAGGGACTTGGGCCTATTCTGTACATCATGGGGCTTCCCAGATGCTGCAGGAAGCTGGTTCTGATGGCCCCAGGAAAGCCTTAGTATCTTCCTTAGTGAGATGCCTTGGATTGCTTGTGTTTGACCCATGTGGGCCACCGTCCCCATACCCTACCAAGAAGGGAGATGGATTGCTATGGGCTTATAGGATTTGCAGGAGGAGGCTATGGAGATTCTGCTCCCATTCATATATCCAGAGAGAGGGCCCCTCTCTCTGCCCCTCCCCTCACTCCCCAGGCTATAACTATTTTTATTGTATATAAGTTTATCCGAAAAGGAGCATGTCCTCAAGGTTCACTCCTGTTGTAGCATGTGTCAGAAATTCTCTCCTTTGTGGCTAAATAATATTCCATTATATGGGTCACCAGGGCTCCTGCTGTTTCCAGTACACCACAGTGGAACAACAGGCAATTGCTAAGGATGTTGGAGTTAGAGCTGGTTTCTGCCATTATTTCAGGCAGGTGGCTGGAAGTTCATCTAACTTTGGAGTAGAAAAGAACTTCCAAGAACTGAACTCTTTATTTGTGTCAGGTGAGCTATACTGCATCCGGTATTTTGCAATGTAATAATGTTTAACTGGCCCAGTAAGCTAGCACAGCCAAAACCAAACCAACAAAAACACCCACAAACAACAAAGGGCCACTTTAAAAACAGCTTTGAGAACAGCAGGCTTAATGGAAGTCACCTCAGTGTGGAGTCAACACATGTTTTGATGGCTTTGGATACAGATGCACACATCAGGACAGTCTCTCTGGGGCCAGTCTCCACAGCAGCTTCTGAACCCTGACGACCCACTGAGGTCTCATGTGGCAGGACAAGGAAATGGGGTTCACATTGGGCCTCACCGACAGTGCTAGCCTAACGGGGAGGACTGCAGACAGCTAATGTTGGGCATTAAGGTATGCTCAACCCAGGACTTCCCAGGGACTGCAGGAGGAGACACAGACAGAAGTGAGGACATGTGCTCAGCAGGACCAGCGAGGACTGGTGTCGGCCTGAAACCCAGTGTGCTGGCTCTGTAGCCATCCTAGAGGCTGCCACTCACTAGGTGACACACCTAAGAGTCACCCCTGGACCTTGTGAAAACAGATCTCCAGAGCCACCCCCAAGCCACCACTGGGCGTGTGAGTCTACAGATTGTGTGGTATGTGGAAAAGGCTGGGTATGTGTGTTTCTCCAAGACAGCTCCATGACCTCAAGCTTCTCTGAAGGCACCTCACAGTAAGCCTCACATTTTATGCCACGGTCTAGTACACAACCAGGAATGCTGCCTCTGTAGGTAGAATCACTGAATCAGAACATGGCTAGCCTTACTCATGCAAAACCCAACATTTTCCTTGCCTTTCCAGCTCTATTTCATTTTTAGAACAGCTGGTTGTCACCCTCTAAGCATATCTGAAGCCCAGCCAGTGAGTGTCACCCACAATTGGTCAGCATTGCCCACCCCATGCTGGCACCTGGGGCTGGGGTCTCCTGGCCTCTTCTGCGTGCCGCTCAAGTCAGTCACGGTAGTTGGCAGGACAGTCGGGAAAGGGAATGGGGCTGCATAACTTAAGAATAATGCCAAAACCCGTCCTGAATTTCCCACATAAAGCACTCCCAGTGACTGTCCTCCCACCCCGCGCAGGGCGGGACCTTTGCTGCCATTTCACAAAGGTGCAAAGTGATGCTGTAGAGGAGAGACGACCCACCCAGGATCAGAGCAGCATGGAGAGGGAGGGACGGCTCTGCTCTGAGTCAGCACCCAGGATAGACTCTGCTTTTGTGGACAGAGTAAGAGCATTTGATTTCCACAGGTAAAACCCAGCTGTCTCTTGGCCTCCCAACCCACCCATGCCTGCAGCGGCGGAAGCACTTTCATATTGTATTTCAGTCTTGAATATGTAGAGCGTGGCTGCTGAAGTCCCCGGCAGCTTTTGCTAACAAAATCAAATCCTCTGGCTTTCTCAGGCGGCCAGAACCAGGGCTCGTAATCTATGGTTGCTTAAGGAAGCCACTTTCTGGTGACAGGAGTAACCTGCAGTCTGTTTTAATTATGGAGAAACCAGCCACCCTACGACACTCCAGGCAGGAACAGGAAAATCCTAGATTTGGGGGTGTGACACATGAGGATTAACGGTAGATAAATAAAATTCTTTTTCTCCCTCTTCCACACCAGTGTGCCTCGGTGCTAAGCTCTTCTCCAGAGACCTGCGGAAATTAGCAGAGCTTGTGAAACACACTTTAACACACCACAACTCTGTTTTGTTCTGGGACATGTAGGCGTCCCCAATCGGGGACAATTAATTTGGATTACATAAGAGCCCTGTGCTGCCAATGTCCCTCTCTGAATCCTGTATCGGGTCCTTGCTGCAGAGAGAGGCGAGGCGGCAGATTTTTGTTGACAATGGGGGTGGAGATGGGAGCTGTTCCCTGCCCTGCACAATATAGATGGCAGAATCCAGTATGAGTCAACACCCACCCAGGGGAGGGGATGAGTTAATCCACCAACGTGGGGGGGCTGACCACATACTCTGGAAAACAGTGGGAGACACCAAAGAAATAGAAAAAATGTACTTTTCTCATCTGTCCTCACACTGAAGTGCCTGTCTCATTCCCTCTCATACCCCGATCCTAGCACAGTGCCTGGCCTGTACTCAGTGCTCCATAAACATTTACTGCATGAATAAACGCACCGTAACCTTTTATGTAATAACCTTTCCCAAAGTGTGTTTGTGGGGCATAGGAAGCTGTTGAGAAGGGGGAGGAGAGGATCGCAGAGAAGGGAAGGTGCTAATGCTCACAGAAGTCTGGTTAACAAGATTTGTTTGCTATAGATGTTGTTAGAATCTTGATGTGTTTCTTGGAGGAAGCAAATCCTTTCTCAGATGCATCTGACTACAGACTTCCTTCCCCTGGATTTTTCACAGGGGACCTCCTTTGAGAAATGCTATGTTTGATCCTCATACACGGTAACCCAAGTGCTTGCCCCATTTGTACTGCATGACTTGAGGGGTACCAGGGAACAGCAAGGCCAGATCACGGGGAGGGGCTCGGTGATTGGCTGGGCTCATAACTCTCCATTGTTCAGAGAACTGTTCAATGGCTGCATGGCAGGGGTTTTGTTTGGGGGAGCTCAAGAATTGTAGAAACTGAGAATGAGCTGTCTAATTTTTTTCATATGCCTATAGCTGGCTTTCCCAGATAGCAGGAGGAGCTTATTCCAGGCAGCCAGCCCCCCTTTTCAGGAGATTGGCATGTTTCAAGAAGGCTCTGGCTAATGAGCAGTCCTATAATAAAGATTCAGAAAGCTGAGGCAGAGCATGGGAGGGTGTTTGCACAGGAAGTGGGCCAGGCCAAACCAGGGCTCACCAGCAGAGGCAGACCTGCTCACCTGCACAAAGCTGAATTCCCTCCAGTTGAGAGAGTTTGCAATGGACGGCAGTGAGGTGACAGCCAGCAGGGACAGTGTGCCAAGGGCCAGGACTCCCAGGGAGAGATATATCTCCATCCGCCAGACTTCCTCCTCAATCCAGAGGTGACTCTTGTTGGCTAAGACCTGATTGGATGAAAGGAAGACCATGAATACCATGGCGAAGGTCAGTGCCCTGGATGCGGGTGAGATCCTAAGTGCTTTTCAGGTATCAGCTTATCTAGTCCTCACAATATACCCATGAGGTACACAACACTAACATCCCCATTTTACAGATTAGGTGTAAAGATCAAGTCACTTTCCCACGGTCATACAAGTAGATGGCAAAGCTGGGATTAGGCCCCAGGCGATCTGGCACCAAAAACTCCGGTTCCCTCCCCAAGGCTTTCACAGATATGCCTGAGATGAGTCAACCAGAATGGTCATGTGACCCAGAGTAAGGATTCAGAGAAATCAACAAGTGGTAGGACTCCAAATGAGACCATGTCACATGGTTTTCTGGTCTCCAAATCCGGAGCTCAGATTCCTTCATCCAGAGGGACTCCTGCCTCTGCTGGCCGCCTCTGCTTCTGGCCTGTCTCCTCTGGGCCCTGTGCCTTCCTGGCTCCCCAGGCTGTACCCCCACCCCATCACTGGCTCTCTGTCAAGTTACACAGTCATTTCTCAACATTTCCTGACTCAAGGCCCCAGCCACCATTTCCCCACCGTTTCTGCTTGAGGCACATGGCTTTGGTTCAACCATTGCAGGCGCCAGACTCACATCCATTCCCCAGCGAGCACTTAGGGGTCCACTGGGCTGCAGCGAGCAAGTAAACCTGCCTCCACAAAGCTCTGGGATCTCCCACTGATCCCCAGGGAGGCACAAAGGATGCCCCCGCAGGCCCAGAGAGCTCTGCTGTTCAGTCCCTGCCCAGTATGCCTATGGCTTAGCCCCCTCCTTGTCCAGACAACACCTCCAAGGAAGAACTTTTATTACAATCCTTCCAATAGAACCATCATTTTCCAATTAGACCTGGTAGCAGAGTTCCTGGAAGTCAAGGTGTTCTCTGAGAATACCATGAAATGCTGGTACTTTAATTCTCCCGGCAGAATAAGGAGTGATATTTCCACTAGGAAATGTGACAGTGCTTTCGTAGGCAGGTCTCTGCTTCACAAAACAGAATGACTCATATAGGTTTTGAGAAATGATTTCAGCAGGAAAAAAATAACCCAAGCCCAGTTACCTGATGTAATATTAAAAATGAGTCTCGTCGGCTGAGCACAAATAGTTGTAAAGCTTATGAAGGAAAGTTTAAAGAGATGAGAAAAATGCTGTTCATTGGAGTCTTTTTCTGCAATTTGTGAAAAAGTGCCCTGTGTTCTGTCGTAGGGCGGGCAGGTTCATTTCCAGGTCTTCAAGTCACAAAAGGAACCGGGCCTGAGGGCCCAGGTTCTCAGCCTTACGACTATTGCTGGGCATGACGCTTAAGCCTTTGCTTCTCCCTCAAGAGCCGGATCATTATGTGACTGCCTATGTACCAAGTCAGTGTCAGTATTCACTAGAAAATTGTGGCTGGTACATTACCCCGCAAAGGGCAGAGAGAGCTCCTGCGTAATTGAGCCCAAAGAAATCTTACTCACACCTTCGCAGTGCTGACAGCCACGCTAAATAAGTCATCTCCTCATTGCAAGTTGTTCTTCAAATATACTTCATTAGTCATTCCTTTCTGTATTTTGGTTAAGATCAGGCAGTTAATGTCGTAAGTCTGAGTTTGGATGATCACATCCACATGCTTGCGAGGTGTCTTGGTTTTTTCCTTTAATGTTTCCAATCTGCAGTGATGCTGGGATGGGATGGGGTAAGGTAGGCAAGGGAGGTTGAAGGGTGAGAAAGTTTCATGGGGATCTGGGTCCCAGCATCTTCCCTAGCCTGCAAGGTTCCTACCCACCCCACTAAACCACAGGCCTGTATTATCATACACAGCGAACTGGGTCACATTACCAAGTCCCCTTTCCCTAGGAACTCACCCATGTTTAGAACTAATTAAATCGGCCATTTTGAGGATGACAAGGATAGTGCGTGTCAACAAGAGATGAACTGGTGGCATTCACGTCTGGCTTTCTGTAGACTGTAGGTCAGAAGCTGACCTACAGGGCCATTAACCTCTCTCCACATCCCAAGAGTGGGTGGGGGTTGGGAGAGCAGTGGGTGTCAAGCCCAGCCAAGCCCAGAGCAGAGCTCTGGGATGGTGGGAAGAAGGGGTCTGCAGTCCCAAAGGCTGGAATCCAGTGACGATGCAGTCACAAGAGCCTGGTAGAACCTTCCCTGGCTAGAATCTTTCTTTTTTGCTGTGTTATCAAAAGAATAAAAGAATGTTTATGAAATGAGTAGCCTATGAATGGCACACAATAGGTGCTTAATAAAATAAGTGGCTGGTGCCTATTCTTAATGACAGCTGGGCAGTTAAACTAGTTTTTGCCCTAAGTTCTGCATCTCTTAAGAGACGCCTGGTGTTGGCTTCATGATGGCCAATTTAACGGTTAGTCACTCAGTGAACATGTGCTGGGAATGTGTAATAAGAACCATGGACCTCAAAGGGTGGAAGCCTGGGTCATGAAGCTTTGAGTTGGGCAGAAGACAAACACGAACATGAGTGATCAGAGTGATGTGTGAGAAAAACTGTGGAATCATAGGCAAAATGCAACAGAGGTGGGCGCAGGGGATATGGGAGGATAAGCTGGGGGAGCATAACAATGTTTTGAAGGAGGAATAAAAGCTTATCAGGCTGTCACAGGGTGGGGAGTTCAGGTTGAGAGGCATCACCTCTGCCAATATGGGTCCCAAGTTTGGTGTTACAGGAGTCGGGGAGGGGTGGGGGGTGAGAAAACGAGGCTACATTGTGGTCTATCATTTCCTAAGTGTGTGTGTGTGGGGGGGGGGAATGTTTTCCAGCAGTGTCATGATTGATGTAGGTTTTAGATGGTTTTCTCTGCCAGCCTTGGCTAAATTTGGGGAGGGGGGAGGTAAGAAGAGATCAAAGTGTGGATTAAACATTGCCTTTAATCTTGAAGTGCATTCTGGTGAAGCACACACACAAATCAGATGCTAAAATACAAATGTTAGCTATTGTTAGTAATGATACTGTCAATAAACATGGTTTCAGAGTTTCAGAGGCTTTTCCCTACAGTTGGGATACAGCTCTGTCTCTAAATCTTCTGGCTCCAAATCTCTGAGACTTGAAGAAAGCCTTGAAGAGCTTCTTATGCCCAGGCCAACATGGGCCCTGGGTGGCCAGGGTGGTAAGCACTTCCTGTCTGAAAGTGAGGTGACTGAAGGCAGGCTGAGGGTCACACATCGGGTACAATGTTGCCAGAGACCCTGCCCTTTAGGGCTGAATGAAGACCAGCCTCAGATGCCCACTTTCAGAAGCTGAGGGCATGGCGGACCTGGAAGCTAACCAGCATCTGCTTGAATACCTCCCTGGAAACTGGTCATTTCTGGGTTGCTCTGTTCTGTGCTAAAAGCACCACCCTCTACACCCCCCAATTCTTGCCATCCCTGACCAGAATATACCCATGCAGCCTGGTTCTGCTCTCCAGAACTCCATGGAGCAAGTTTAAGCCCCTTTGTGTGACAGGTGCTCCCTGTCGTTGAGACTGAACCTCTCTTGTGGGAGTGATGGTTGCCTGGCAACCTTCACAGGGACCAGCAACCTTGAAGGGCTCTGGAACTCGGGAAAATTACCTTGCACGCGTCCCTTCATGCCCTGGTATTTGCAACATGGGAAAACTGGGTTAACAGAATATCAAGGACAGCCTTAATAGGACCAGGCAGAAAATGTAGAGAAAGGTGGGAGGGTGATGGGAGGGAAGCAGTTACTTAGGGCTAGATGCAAGGGGCAATACCTATCCCCACCCACTGCCTGGAAAACCTGCCATCTAGACCTGCCACCTCTGGGGCAGCAAACATCGCGCCACTTCTTAAGCAGCCACAGAGTCTCCTGCTAGGCTCCTTTTGGAAGGAAATAACATCAGAGTGCCCAAAACATCAGCACTAGAAGAGACCCTTGAGCCTGAGCATGGAGGGGCTGTGACTTGCTCTGTTACAGTGTGAACTGGGTGCCTGTCTGTGGGTCCTCACCCACACGCTTAAAATTCAATTGTACTGCAGGCACACACAAGAGTCAATAGTGGGTGTATTTACAAAGGGAAAGGGAAAGGTACAACCCAGGGGAAGAGAGAGAAAAAGAGAGAGAGATACAAGTTAACTAGAGCATCCTACCAGCTCCGTTGACTTGGAACTCCAGTAACACACTGAAAGCTCATCAGGAGCCAAATGACCAGCGACCAGCCACATGGTCCAGAGAGAGCCACAGGGTCCAGAGAGCGAGTCTAACATGGCTCCCTTATATACCCCCCAAAGTCCCAGAATACCTTCTTAGCTCTGTCCTTGGGTCCTGGCAGTTCTCTCCAGGGTACTTCTGGGAGTCACAGTTTACTGGAGTAAGGTGTGGAGTCCACAAAACTGGAGTGGGGGTGGAGTCCACAAGACTCTGCAGAATTCTTTCAGGACATCCTTTCCCCCTAATAGCTGCAAGATTAAGTTCTTTGTTCCAAACAGCAACAGCAGAGGACTCAAGGCCAGAGCTCTGGTCTTGCCCCTGTGGAACCCCGTGTCAGCTAAGGCTGGGGGCAAAAGCAGGTGCTCAGTGAGTGAATGAGTGAATGAACTGAGACCTGGGGTCATTTAGTCAAGGCTTCATGTGGACTCGCTTCCCTGCATGGATAGGAGCATGGCTCTGGACACAATGGCTAGACCTGAGTCCCAGCTCTACCACTTACTGGCTGTGTGACATTGGTCAAGTTACTTAACCTCTCTGTACCTCAGTTTTCTCATCTGTAAAGGAAGACAGCATCCACCTTAGAGGGTTAAGAGAAGGGGTAAACCCATTGATACGGAGTATGTAAGGCTCTTAGAACAGCCCCTGGAACTAAGCAAGCTGTTTCTTAAGGATTTGTGACTATTATTTTTTCCTTTCATTTATAGTTTTGCCTGAAGTCTAGGGCTCTTCCTTTTTCTTGCAAAAGCCTAATTCTGCAGAGGTAACGATGGCAGGTGTTCATGGGTGGGGAAAAGGACATTTGACAAGTTGACAGCAGGGAAACAGGGTATCTGAGAGAGCAGGAGCTGAGTTTGAGGCAGCAGTGCCCCTACCATCCTCTACTCCCCTCATACCCCACACCCAGCCCCAGCTCTTGGTCCTGCTCTGGGAGCAAGATAGCTATATGGTGGGTATACCTGGATCTCACCGGGATCTCTGCATCCAAAACAAGAATTGCAGGGATCACCTGGCTGGAGCAGTGGGGTGGTGAGAAGGCATAGCCTGGAGAGTGGCTGGTGTCCTGGAGTGGGCAGGACCAGGGCAGCAGCCCAGGGACTGGGGCTGGAGTCAAGCAGGTAGGGAAAATAGAGAGAGTCAGCGCTGCTTGTAGACCTGATCTTGGGAGTCAGATTCAGGCCCTGTGAGCTTGTCAATGAGGAGAGAGCATCAAGGGCCTATTTCTGTGGGTACAGGTGCCAACTGGTATGGACTATGTTGCCCCCTGGCTTGGCCTGAAGGGTCTCTATTTCTAAGAAGTCAGATGCTGCCACATGGGACTCCCAAATGAATGGTCACAGTTTCCTATCCTATCCCTAAATCTTGCAACCTTTCCCATCTTATCTGACGGCAGCTCCATCCTCCCTGTGCTTAGGCCAAAAGCTGGAGTCCTCCATCACCGGCCCTCCACATTCCTCGTCCCTCCACAGTCCTGTGTACTCTGGCTTCAAATACGCCTCGGGACTCCTCAGCCCTCGGCTGCTCCCATCCCATTCCACATCCCCATCACCCCTGGGCTCCTGCAGTCTCCAGATGGTCTCTCAGCCTCTTCCCTGACCCTCTATTGTCCGGCTCTCTTTTTCACTCCAAATCTAAGGTCCAAGACCTTCTGGTCTTTGAAGCTTCCCCAGTTTGCTTTTAACCCCTCGGGCTAGGCCAGCTCCAGCCTTGTTCAGCACCTCCCCAAACTTGCAGCTGTCCCCTGCAGGCCTCTGCTCTGGCTATTTGCCTACTAGCCACTGTTTGACCCTCACTCCTTCCACCTTTGCTCACAAACCACCCACATATCACCCACTCAGCAAGGCCTCCTGCACCCCCACTTTTTCTCCTATGTGACTTTTCTCCTTATCACTTACCACCTTGTAGACACTCCCTACCCCTTCATACTTTGTCTCTCCAGCCTGGGCTATGCCCAGCAGCACAGAGGTTTTCATATTTTGTCCACTGATATTCAATCAGGGACAGCAGGATATGGGCGCTGCCCAGTTGGAGCGGGTCCTCACGCCAGAGCTGCCAGGGTGTGCCCACAGGTACAGCACACTCCCCACAGGTGCTGAGCGAGGGCAGGAGATGGACGTGCTTACCTGCTTGACCGCGAGGTTGACCAGGTCAAAGCGGTGGGAGCGGCGCAGCGGCAGGCAGAAGCTGTAGAGCCCATGCAGGGCAGCACAGAAGAAGCTGAGCAGGCCGATCTGCTTGCGGTGCTGCAGCCAGTGGTCCAGCCAGTCGGGAAAGCGGCTGTACTTGGTGCCACGCCGCAGCTGCAGGGCAGCTGCCAGCACCCCCGGCAGGTAGACCAGTGACAGCAGTACGTAGGCCATGCATGGCAGCGTCGTGTTGACCACTGACACTGGGAGCTTGTAGAATTTGTTTTTGCCCTCCTGTATGTAGGGCTGCAGCACATCCCGGATGAAGTTGTAGGCATAGAAGAAGACGAAGAGCCCCAGGGCCAGAAGGGCGGGCACCTTCCAGCCAGGAAGGAGGCACAGGGGCATGGCCTCCACCTCCCGAGCGGAGGCCAGGGACCCCATGTCCACGGGTGTGAAGCCCATGCTGTGCACCATCACTGAGACGGTACGCTTGGCTTCTGGCTTGTCACTGCAGATGGGCACCTGGGGGGTGGCAGAGGGGAAATGAGGTGGGGTCACAGGCTGCAGGGCTAGGCAAGGCCTTCCAGAGTGTTTGTGCCAAACTCCTCCTTGAGCAGCTGGGACTACTGAGGCCCAGTGAGTTGTCAATTAAAGGTGTGCCAGTCTCATAGGCCATTCTTAGAGTCCTTGTGGCTTCCCAGTCTCTGAGCTGGTTGGTCCAGCAGGACCACCACTCACGGGATACCCAGGGCTCACCTAACATAGCATTCTACCTTAGTTCATTGCCATCAGCCTCCACAAGCAGAATGCCCAGCTAGGCAGCCCCACTGGGCCCTTGGGAAATGTGCTTTGAAGACTGTGTCCTGCCCTGGGGGGCACTCAGCCACTGGGCTTTGCATATAGCCCCAAATATATAAGGATAGCTGCAACCCCGTCCCTGCCGTCCAGAAGTATTCCCTTCGATGAGGTTCCTTGGCCCCCTCAGACACACAAGCCTTCCATGAGCCAGTCCCAGCCTCGTAGCCCACACATCCCCACCATGAGCTCCAATGGAAGCACCCTGACGTCCTCAGAACCCCAAGTGTCCCATGGGCCTTGCTGACACTGCTGAGGTGAGTCTGGCCCACCTAGACTGATCACCCAAGTGCCAGACTTCATATTCACCATCCCTCAGCCTCAACGATCCCCTCCAGGTAAGGGGGATGGGGTAGGAGCATTGTTTCTCATCTCTGTGCCTAAGTTTGAAATGCCCTCCTGCTCCTTATGCCTGACAACAGGAGATAGGACCAGGCAAGGCTAATCTGGAAATCTTTCCCAGTCAGCCAGCCACTTGCTCAGTTCCCTCCAGATCCTGTCACCCAACACCCGCTGTTCCTGGCCCGCTCACATACTGGAATCCCAGTGTGCAGCCTGCAAAGTAAGGACTGACTGGGCACCTGGGCGCTCCCACGGCTGGCATGAAGCTGGCCAGAGGAGGCAGATGGGCCGGACTTACGGGGTGTCTCCCTCACAGGCAGGGCTGGGCATCCTTCCTTCAGGCACCTACAGCAGGCCTCTGGCCTCTGGCCTCTGGCAGCATGTACTGGTAAGAACTTCTCTAGCCAAGAACTGTATGCAGCTCTGGGCATTCTCCGGAGCCATTTTCCATCCCCAGAAAAACCTTCTGAGAAACCCAGTCAGTTCTTAGAGGCTTCTGGGGTAAAGCCTGGGAATTCCTCAGGGCGTGGCACATACACATATTACTCTCTGGGTCCAATTCTAAAAGCCAAGGCTCACCTCTTCTTGACTCAAACAGTAAACAAAAAGCCATCCGTGCTTTCCTCTTGCCCACTAAGAAATGAAGAACGTGGATTTGAGATTTGTTTAAACTGCCCTCGAATCCCAGCTCATTGCTGTGGTACTTGGTGTAAGTATGTCATCTTGGAACCTCAGTTTCCAGTTTTATAAAACAGAACTCTGTGGTGATGTGAGGTGAGCTGGGGACTTATGAGTCTCAGCCCCGAGTGCCCATAGTGAAAGCTGTTCATGGTTATTGTTACAATGGTCGTTACCCTGCCCCCGGCACGTACCTGCCTGTTTCCATCCCTTGGGCCCATCTGCAGGGTCCAGGCAGAGATGACATTGAAGGCCTTGACTACTGTGCAGGTGGGGAAGAGGGAGGCCAGGTACTCAGCGTTAGACTCGCGGTACTGAAGGTGCTCCTGCTCGGTGGGGTTGCTCACATCCACTAGGATCTTGCCGGCCAGCTGGCTGCTGAGACCACACAGTGAGGAGTAGTGTTCCCGGAACACAGCCACAAAGATGACTTCAGGGGCAGCCACTGCCTCCTCCCAGAAAGTCACTCGTGCCGCTGCGGGGAACAGCCCAGCTGTGCGTTTGGGGTTGCGGCTCCCCACTACCACACTGAAGCCAGACCCTACCAAGCGCGTGGCCAAGGACCGGGCAAAGTCCCCACTGCCCAGGATGCCCACTTTGGGGGCCTCACTGGGCGCTTCTGTAAGGCTGCCATCACTGTCCACCAGGTGGCGGCTGATGAGCGGCTTGTCCATCTCTTCTGGCATTTTGGTGTCTAGAAGAGAAGACAGGGATCTGATCAGTGGAGGGCTCCTCTCTGCCTCTTCCACCACCTCCCTCTCTTGTCCACTGCAACTGCATGACAATTAACCCTCCAGCCAAAGCTTTCCTTAGCATGAACATGTACCAGCATGCGGGCTAGGGGACAAACTGAAGGAGACTCAGCCTTTTCCTAAGGGGGCACTGACTCAGAAAGAGTGGGGAGAAAGACCTATGTCCCCCATTCCCTGTCTTTTCCATTAAATTCATAATGAGGAGTATTGAGAAAGAAGGGTATGGAATTTCCATGATCAATACTACGTGGCACCATACTCCTTTTCAAAAGGTTTATGCTATGAACAGAATTACCACCTTGATGCCAATTTCATCATTTCTGGGTGTATTTTTGATGATCAGGAAGGGCAGATATGTTCTCTTGCTAGTTTACATTTTACGTTTTGGAATGATACCTCTGATGTGCTTCCTTGAGCAGCGTGAAAGGAAATGAACCATATCTTATATGGCTTTGAATTTCAAATTTTTCATATGACATGGCCCAGAGTTGGTATTCAATGCTTGCTAAATGAGTGATAAATAGTGACATCCACTCTTTGAGAGTAGAACTGGGGTGGGATATGACTGTGTAAGGAACCCTGAAATTGGGTGGGTGCCCTGAGATCTCCTCCACTGGAGTATAAATAGACCTGGAGGAAATCCTAGATTTGGGACAGTTTATAGCAAACTTGGTTGAGAAAGATTTTATTTTAATGGCCACACACTTCTATTTGCGATTTCCTTCAAGGATGAATGTGAGTGACATACTATAGCAGTACCTGGGAATTGCTCACCGGTAATGACCACACATTTTTGTGAAAGAAGACTTCAAATAATATTTAATCTCATCATTACTTTAGAATTATGAGAGATAGAAATACCAAAATATATAATGTTAACAGTTCTGAAGGAAGCAATAAATAGCAATACAATATCAGCAGGGGACTTCAATACCCCACCTTTAACATGCATAAACCAGCTAGAAAACCAGCAACTCTGGACTTGAGTTATATTTTAGGTCACGTGAATCTGAAACACACTGTCCATTCAAGCTATTAACACTTTATCCAGCAGAAGAGTGCACATTTTCCTCATGTGTGCATAGAGCATTCTCCAGGACAGATTATCTGTTCGGTCAAAAAACAAGTCTTAGCAAAATTAAGGAGATTAAAATCATATCAAATATCTATTTTAACCACAATGGTATGAAACTAAAAATAAGTTACAAGAGGAAAACTGGAAAATTCACAAATATGTGGACATTAAGCAACACCCTTGAATAATAAATGAGCCAAAAAACCAAAGGCAAATAAAAAAGAAATCTTTAAGCAAGTGAAAAGAGAAACACTAGCAAAACTTACAAGCAAAACAGTTCTAAAAAGGAAACTCAAGCTTTTGCCTACATTAAGCAAAAAAGTAAATTCTGAAACAACCCAACTTTCCACTTCAAAGAAACAAAAAGAACAATAAATCAAGTCCAAAATTAGCAGAAGGAAGTGAATGACAAAAATCAGAGGGTACATAAATGAAATAAAGGTTTAAAAGAATAGAAAAATGTCAGCAAAACAAGTAAGATCTGTTTTCTTAAAAGATAAACAAATTGACAAACCTTTAGTTGGACTAAGGAAATAAAAAGTATATATATAAAATTAAAAATGATATACAATTGATGTCACAGAAACACAAAAGATTGTAAGAGACTATTACTGTACAATTACATGTCAACATATACAACACAGCAGAAATGGATAAATTCTTAATATACTACAAGCTACCAAGACTAAGTCATTATAAAATAGAAAATCTCAAAAGGCCAATAATTGAATTGAATTGAACCAGTAATTAAAATTCTCCTAACAGGGGTCTCCCTGTTGGTGCAAGGGGTTAAGTCTCAGCACTATCAAGCTATCACCAGCCACTGCAGCAGGAGTTCTATCCATGGCCAGGAGCTGACCCATATGGTGTACCAGACCTCTCTTGTCTTGCCTGCTGCTCCCCTCAGTGTATTTCAGTAGATCTTGCCTATTCTGCTTCTTTCCCTCTCTCTTCCACTCCACACCTCTGGGTTACACCCCAGTTTTTATATGTATAAATAAATTTTAAAGATCTGATAGAATAAATGAGTCTATAAACTCATTTATGAGTCTATAAACTCAACATACAAAATTCAGTTGTTTCTATGCAGTAACAATTAACTATCCAAAAACAAGATGAAAAATAATCCCACTTACTTTTATTTATTTTTAAAATTTATTTATTTATACATACAGAGCTGGGGTACAGGCCAGAGGTGGATGGGTGTTAAGAGGATTCACTAGGAACAGAGGGAGGAGCGGAACAGGCAGGTTGATGAAGTACACTGCTGAGGGGAGCAGTGGGCGGGTCAGGAGAGGTCTGCCGCACCATGTGGAACACCTCTGGGGTGGAGAATGAACTTGTGCCAAGGTGGCTGTGGCTAGCTTCATAGTGCTGTGCTTAATCTGTTGTGCCACCAGGGAGGGCCTCCACTTACTTTTAAAAAGATTAAAATACTTAGGAAAAATTAAGCCAAGAAAGTGAAAGACCTGTCCATTGAAAACCATGAAACACTGATGAAAGAACCAAAGAAGACACAAATAAATGGAATGATATTCTGTATTCACAAATTGGAAGATTATTATTAAAATATCCATTCTACCCAGTGATCTATGGTTCAAAGTATTTGCTATCAAAACCCCAACAGCCTATTTCACAGATATTGAAAAAACAATCATGAGATTGATAGAGAAACAAACAAAAAGGCCCTGAAAGCTAATGCAATCTTGAACAAGAGGAACAAAACTGGAGGCATCACACTTCCAGATTTCAAATTACTTGACAAAGCTAATAGTAAGGAAAAGTCAACTCAAATGGCTTAAAGACTTAAATGTAAGACCTGAAACTATATAACTCCTAGAAAAAGGCATGGGGGTGGGGATAGGCCTCGATATTGGCATTGGCAATGGCTTTTGATTTGATACCAAATCACAGGCAACAAAACTGAAAATAAATGGGAGTACAGCAAGGCAAAACTGTCTTGTACAGCAAAGGAAACAACTAACAAAATGAAAAGCCAACTTATGGGACAGAGAAGATATTTGCAAACCACACAGCTGATGAGAGGTTAATATTCAAAGTATTGGTAAACTAGTGGTAGCTAAAGAATTGAATCATAAACTAGTGGTAGCTACAGAATTGAATCATCCAATGATAATGGACAAAAGGCCAGAATCCACATTTTTCCAAACAACACATACAAATGGCCAACAGCCATATGAAACAATGCTCATACATCACTAAGAATTAGGTAAGTGTCCATCAAACACCACAATGAGTTATGACCTCCCCCCTGTTAGGAAGACATCATAAAGTTAGCAAGGATGTGCAGAAAAGGGAAGCTTTGTGTTCTGTCGGTGCAATAGTAAATTGGTGCAGCCATAATGGAAAATAGTAGGTCGGTTCCTCAAAAAATTAAAATTAGAACTACCTAGCAAATTTATCAGTCAATTACAAGTTCTGGAGATGCCTCCCAAAATCACTATCTGAAAGAGATACCTGCTCCCCATGCCCACTGCAGCATTATTCACAGTATGACCGAGAAACCACATAAGGATCTGTCAGTGGATGAATGGATAAATAAAAAGTGGGACACCTTTAGAAAGGAGGAAATCCTCTATTTGTAACAGCGTGAGCTATTCTGGAAGACATTATGCTAAGGGAAATAAGTCAGACACAGAAAAACAAATACTGTATGATCTTACCGATATGCAGGGTCAAAAGAAAGCAAACTCATAAAAACAAAGCAGAAAGGCCATGAGGGGCTGAGACCAAGGAAGTGGGGAAGTGTTGACCAAAGGGGATCCATTTTCAGTTATAAAATAAGTAATTCTGGGACTCTGATGGACAGCATGGTGACTGTGAATAATGAGAATTAATGATTATGTTATAGATGTGAAATCTATTAAGAGATTAGATCTCTCACCACACACACAAAGCTGGAACGGATATGTTAATTAACTTGACTGTGGTCATCACTTCATAATGTCTACAACAATGTACATTAAAACAGCACACTGCACGCCCTAAACATAATGATTTTGAAGATGCAGGATTCTGCCCAGCTGTGGCTATGCATGTGCTTCTTTTTCTTTCTCCTTTTCCTAATAAGCCTGTCCTTTTGAAATGTAAAAAAAAAAAAAAAAACCAAAACAGAATTTTCAATCCTAACACAATAAAGGTGGGGAGAAAATTTATAAAGAAAAAGAAAGTATAGTAGATAGTAGACCTATCACTAGATCTTATTATTTAATGTAAGAATAAAGCAGCATGTGTATTACTATTACATCTTTTAAAAAATATATTTTAATAACTGTGTTTCAATACAATTGGTTTCCTTTGTAACACTATGTTATTTTATCGAGGCAACTAAGAGCATTAATATGAGCACAAGTCCAGCAGCCTCATCATCCTATGAGTTTGCAGGGTATTTTGCAGGGTTACCCTGCCCGGAATCAGTGACATGATAGGCTTTTAACACCCTCTTTCCACTTTGCACAATAGTCTCCTGGGATCGGTTCAACTGGAGATGAGGGGAGGGAATGGAGTCTAATGCTGGGAGATCAGGAGGTATGGCCCAGCTCGCCATGAGCCAGCTGTGTGATTTTGGATGAGTGCCTGCCATATCTGGGGCCCAGTTTCCATTTTGTGACTGGAGGTCACAATTTCTGCTCTGGCATGACAGACATGTCAGTATCCTTAAAAGATCTTAAAACTGTGAGCTGGAGGTTTTCTAAGGCGGTGGTGGCGATGGCTCCTGTTTATGAATGCCTATTGTGTGTTAGATACAGCTGGAAGGTCGTCTCGTCCTCACAAGTACCTGCCATGGTTGGCATCCTTCCTTTTTTACTCCCAACTTTTACTCCCAACAGCGGAGGAAACAGGCTCAGAGAGACTGTTATGCTCGGTGGTGCGAGAGTAGCGAGGGAAGGAAGAATAGGACATGGTCTGGTGGGGCCTGTAGTGTGAATGTGACTGAGGGTCTTAGGGCACAGACAGGGGGCTGTGACCTATGCAGAGCTACCACAATGAGTGGCAGGGCTGAGGTGAGGTCGACTGTGCATTCTGAGGAAGGGCGGCGTGTTGTGTCCCCCTCTGTCAAGCACTGGCACTCTATTGGCCTCTTGCACCTTTGACATGGTTTCAAAGCATCGCTCAGTCTTTCTCCAGGATACCAGGGACCAGATGAGCTCCACCTCTTTGGGCCATTTTTGTAGGGATTTTTTTTAAAAATAATATAGTAGTTTATTTTACATCATTTTGTGCATTTTTTCATCTTTTTGTGGGGATTCTTACATGGGGAAGCCATGCCCTTAGGGACAGGCAGGACTCCACTCTTCTTACTCTTACTCATCTCTGGGCTCTGAAGGGGACAGCCCTGTCTTGCAAAATGGGAGAGTGTCTTGTGTGATTCTGAGAATATTTGCTCAGCATGGGCCACTCTTGAGGAGTAGACAGGCCTCCTGATGGTGCCCAGAGTGCCAGCTTCTACAGAGCCCACTTCCAAAGTGGGAGGGCCTGGGCCCAGAGCCAGCTCTGGAGAAAGAGGCCTGGGTTCTAATTTTGTCTCTGTCACTCCCTATCTGTGTCACTGTGGGGCTATCAGTGCCTCGGTCTCTTAGCCATAAATGGGAGACATAGTCATAGTAAGTTCCTGATGGGATTGGCAGGAATAAATACGTCGTATGTGTAAAGCACAATGAACAAAGCTTGCTTGGCATATAGTAAGCACTCAGCAGAAGCTGATTTATTTTATTTATTTATACATACAAGAACTGGGCTACAGGTCAGAGGTGTGGGGAAATTGAAAGGATTCACCAGAGACACAGTAGGGAGCAGAATAGGCAGATTGATTGAAATACACTGCTGAGAGGAGCAGCAGGCAGGTCAGGTTTGGTCTGCCACACCATGTGGGTCACTTCCCTGGCCGGGGATCGAACTCCTGCTACAGTGGTTGCAGATAACTTCATAGTGCTGTGCTTTAACCCCTTGCACCACCAGGAAAGGCCCCAGTCCCTGAAACTTTAAAATGGGACAAATTATATTTTTCTCCAAGATGGTTAAGACAAAATGAGTTAATATGTGCACAAGCCCAGAGCCATCTCTTCTGGGGGTGCTTGTGCATGGGTATGGGTATATGTGTGTGTACTATTCTCTACAGGGCTTTGTCGACAGTGGTCATGCCTCAGAAATTCTTCTACCCTCCCAGTGCTGAGGACAGGGCCTGCCTTTGATCTGTGGGCCAGTAAGGGAAGGTGTTGCCCAGATAGTGTAAACCCTGGAAGAGCCCCTTCTGTCTGTCCAACCCTGTGGCCCAAAGATGAGAGTGACTAATACTGGCTGGCCCTGGCTGTTCTATTTACAGATGGGGAGAAGGGAGGGTTCAAATTGCAGGTTCTTGGGACCGCAGCCTGTACTCAGATCTGCTTACTCTCCCTCCTAAGCGTGGTTAAAACAGTACAGCACCAGCCACAGGTGTCTTCCCCCTCATTCTTGTCCAGACTCACCTACCCCTCCTCCTTCCCTTTGGGGGTCACAGCATGGGCTTTGTTTGTGGCTGGGAGCCACACCTGGCCCGTGAGCCTGCTGCTCTCCCCTGCCGAGGCCTGTCTGTCCTCAGACAGGCCACTAATGGTGGCAGCTGACAATGCCTCAGGACTCAGGGGCCAGGGAAGTCAAGGTAATGGAGGGGTCACTGTTGGGTCAGGTGTTGGTTATGCACACTGCAGCTTGATGGAGGAGAGGGGGTCTTAAAATATTTACGAGGGCCCGAAAGAAAAGGAAAAATACCGGATGGTTTCTCTCATAGTAGGAATATAACAGAACAGGCAAGAAAATAATGGTAGTGATGAACAGCTATATACCAGAGACATTTTATAGGGGTGGAGTGGGGGACGAGATCAAAAACAGTGTGGGGGGGGGAGGGAAATGCACTGGACTGTGGTGATGGCACATGGGTGATTTGGTGATGGGAAACCCAAGGGGATTGCAAATGAGATGGAAAAAATGCACAAAATGATGTAAAAATGAACTATTATATATAAAAAAAGAAATATATTTACGAGGGGTGAGGGAGAACCCTCACTCCCTCCCATGAAGGGGTAGGTAAAGTGTTTCCAGTCCAGGCTGCCAAGGGGATACAAGAAACAGCATAGTTCTTATTATCCCCAAGTGATCTGCAATGCTCCTCAAATAATTTACTTTAAAAATTTTCTTAAAATTAAATTTGAGGGGCACATTCCTATTATTGCTCTATTTATTTATATCTTATGTACATTTAAAATGTGATTTGTACACTACCACACTAGAATGTGTTATAGAGAATAAATCATATATATATAAAATCATAAGTAAATAAAGTCAAATATGAAAAAGAAAATCATACATGATTTTTTAAACAAAAATCGAAGGCAAGGCGATGAAGTTAATGTTTAAATACAAACAGAAGCCCTACTTTTTCTTCTTGCTCCTTTAAGTCTTGGGGAAGGTTCACACTCAACCTGGACACCTGTGTCCAAAGGACTCCTAGGTGCAGGTGAATTAGAAAAGTGGGTGCTGGGCCCTCCTTGGTGGCACAATGGGTTAGGAAGCAGCACTGCAAGCTAGTCACAGCCTCTTCAGCATGAGTTCGATCCCCGCCCCAGAGGTGACCACATGGGGTGGCAGACCTCTCCTGACCCGCCCGCTGCTCAGCCACTCAGCGTACTTGTTGAACTGCCTGTTTGCTCCCCTCTCTCTCTCTGGTGAATCCTCTCACTGCCCCTGCACCTCTGGCTTGTACCCCAGCTTTGTATGCATAAATAAATAAATCTCTAAAAAGAAAAGAAAAGAAAAGCAGGTGCTGACTTAGGGAGCTCAGCACTGAGCAGAGCGCGATAAAGCACTCTAGGAAGAGGGGCCTTTTGGTGCACAGGCCTGGGGGCCTGAAACCATCCAGAGCACTGGGTGCTTCTGGGATAAGCTAGTGTATGCTCACAGCCAACACCAGTGTCCAGAAAGTCTTAAATTAAAGAGAGCCAAATTCTTACAAATGTACACAATTGTAAACTGAAATACTATACTGATGGAAAGAGTGCAGATCTGAGAGACTGAAACTGCTGAGTTCCTCACTGGGAGACATTGGGACAGTCCTGTCCCCCAGCCTCCATTTCTTTGCCTATAAATGAGAGTGGCTGTCCCATTCCCCTCAGATGGCCTGGGGCAGCCAGGGACCATGCACACAGGGTGCTGCTTGGTGGCTGGGGCCTTCCCTTGCTGGTGGGAGTCCCTGCCTGGTGGTGTGGGTGTTCATTCACCTTCCCTGTCTTTCTGGCAGCTCTGGGATGGCAGAGGCCACCTTGGTCCAGGTCTGTAAGTGGAGCAACCAGCTTTCTGCCTGGCATGTTTTGGAGGATCCAGGCACATTTCTGAAGGAAGGGACATAGAGCTGGAGTCTAAAGCTTTGAAACTTACTCCATGTATCCTCTGGACATAGGAAGCCTTGAAAACACAGTGTTCATTTCAAGATGCTCTCTACCTACAGCAAGGCATGTTCTTAGTCTCACCTTGAGTTTTGATAGTAACTTTTAATGGGTTCTCTGCTTTTTCCTTCATGGAGCGGACATTTATCACAGCTGTCTGTCTGCCTGTCTGCTGGTCTCTTTAAGTTCCGCTAGGTCCTGCTAATTTGCTGTGGGCAAGGAATACAGAAAACATACCACCAAGAAAGTGAAAGACAACGTACAGAATGGGAGAAAAATTTTTTGTATCTTATAGCTGATGTGGGATTTGCTGTTAAATGTATAAAGAACTTTTAAAACTCAATCTTTTAAATACAAGACCATATAAAAGTGGGAAAAGGATCTTAAAAAGACATTTCTTTAAAGATGTTCAATGGGTGCACAAAAAGACATTCAATTATCGTTCAGTACTCAGGAAATAGCACTTCACACCAACTGGAATGACTTAATCAAAAAAGGCAGATAATAACTGGTAAGGATAACATGGAACCCTCACATGCTGCTGGTGAGAAGATAGAACAATATGGTTACTATAAGAGTCTCTGGTAACTACTCAACAGTTTAAATATAGAGTAATATAATCTAGCAACTCTTCTCCTAAGTACACATGCAAGAGAAAACATACACAAACAAAAATGTAGTCATAATATCCAAAATGTGGTAAACACACCAAATGCCCATCAACTAATGAATGATTTTAAAAAATGTAATATATATTCATGCAATGGAATATTATTCAGCCACAAAAAAGAAACGAAATGCTACACATAGATTGACCTTAAAACAATAAAGAGTAGCAGAGGTCCACAGGCATGATTTAATTTATATGAAATGCTGAAACTAGGCAAATTTATAGAGGCAGAAAGTAGATTAGTGATTGCCAGGGTGTGGGGAGGTGTTGGATAAAATGGTGACGGACTACTTACTGGTGTAGGGTTTCTTTCTGGAGTGATGAAATGTCCTAAAATTGATTGTGCAGATGGTTGTGCTCTAACTATACTAAAAGCCACTGGATTTTATATGTAAAAATGGATCAATTTCATGGTATGTAAATTATAGCTAAATAAAGTTATTATTAGAAAAAGAAACTGAGCGCTCACCCTCTGTGATTAGTGTGTATAAAGTAAGAGCAAACACATGCTGAATTCGAGCATAAGGAGTCTTCATGGGCTTACCACGTGCATTTGCCACATCAGTAGTGGTGGTTCTGCAACCGTACCAGCTTATTTCCAAGTTTTCCACATATTTGAGGTTTCTAAACCCACAACATCTGGATAAGGGGCACTTATGCAAACAGCACCATGAACTGATGTTCTAGGGGATGCTGTGGGCTAAAGAGTCCTCTTGGTTTCTGTGTGGCCTCTGCAGCATTTGCTCACACAGCTACTTCTCTTTTCTCCAACCAAAGCAAGCAGCCAGCCATTCTGGAGCCACACAGAATGGGGTGCAGGGAGAGGTGCCAAGGTCTGAGGCTCATTCTGCCAGCTCCCAGGATGGAGCAGTGTACAAGGCAGATGTGTTATGGGAAGAGGGAGCAGGCGTCTTTGGCTACGCACCTGGATGACTGAGGTTTTTACATAAGGATATGCAGCTGGAAACTAGCGCACAGCAGCGGCAAATTTGCAGAATGGGGAATTAGATCTGACTCACCACTCTCCTCCCCACCCCCCACCCCCACCAGACTTAGCCCCTCCTCAATTGGCAGAGGATCAGCTCTTGCGAGTCAGGCCTCCAGGCTCCCTTCAGAGCAGCCATCAGAACGAGGGATCAGGAAGACATTGAGAAACTGGGGATTACTCTGGATCAGCGGCCTTAGCAAACTGCACACTAGGTGAGCGAGAACATGGGCTTAGAGACAGCTGTGATCACATTTCAGTTTCATCACTTGTTAGCTGAATGGTGTTGGCAGGACACTTGACCTCCCTTAGCCTCAGCTTTCTCATCTATACAATGGAGTGATGCTTTAGTGAGGACTAGTAAAGAATATATGAGATAAACAAGGTGCCATGAGCTGAGCCTATTACATTTCCTGCTTTTCTATTTTGTTCCTCTCTCTCTAGGATTAGAAAAAAGAAAACAAAAAACATTTTGTCTGAGTAAAGTTGGAATAGATGCACCTAAATCAATACGTGCTTTCCTTGCTGAACTTCAAAAAATCTGTTCTGAGAAAATGGCCTAGAGGGACACACCTATTTCTCACCAAGACGACAGAGGGAAAGGACTTGCTGCTGTATGAGACTCAAGGAGTTGCAAGAGGTGGGTGGTGGGACAGGGAAGGGTATGGCAGGGAGAAGCTAGGGGTCAGGATGGGGCACCAGGGTGGGTTGACATTGATGGTGGCTCCTTGAACCCTCTGGGGGCTACTAGCATCAATATCCAGCTCCCTGCCAGAGCCAACACACTTGTGGGGTCCTGACCACCTTCCCCCTACAGGGTCCCCAGTTACTGCGGGTACACCCGAGAGCGGCACCTTTCCCCCTGATAGTACAGGTGAGCTTTGGCAATGTAGGGGAGTGACTTCCACACCAGCAATAATTCTGCCTGACCTGGTGTCGGGCTGCCCGATGCAGCTTTGGCATTGCTGGATTCAACCAACAAACACCCACCGAAATGTGGGCTTGCCAACTTCAAACCCACATTGTTCAAGGGTCGCTGTGTTTCTCTTTTCTGTCTGCCTCCTTCCTAGATGTCATGTTCCTTAGGGGTGACAACTGAGTCATTCTTATTTTTACAACTAACTCAAAAAAATACTTAGCCCAGTCCTGACACTCATTAGGTCAGATGAGGTGCACTGAAGTCATCTGGATGGCTGGTCTCTATCCCCACAGTTTCTGATGCTGCTGGTCCCATGACCACACTTTGAAAACCACTACAGTAGGTGCTCAGTAAAGGTCTGTGCCATGGGTGGATGACTTAGACAGTCGTTTGCATGTAAGAACCATCCCATATTTGACCTTTTCCCTGGGTTCTTATACTCAAGCCCCCCTTTTGGCCCACCCTCTCTGTGAAGCCCTCCCGAGTCCTGGTATAAGCACTCTTTCCTCCCAGTCTGAAACGTCAGGTACAAAAGGCCCATTCTTGTACATCCCTTGGCCACCAGAAACAGGATCTTTCTGGTAAGGAAAAGGAGATCAGGGCCATGGGGGCATTGTTCACTGAGTCAATGAGGCAAAGTCCTTGGGGATGGCACAGTGCTCCCTCCCCCCAAGCACATCTGTGTCATCAGACCCACTGAGTGGTACCAGAAGACCACACAAATCTTGGGGGCCCAGGAACCCTCTAATCCTGAGTAGATTTTCCAAGGACCCAAATTCCTGGATGACCAAAGATCAGATGGCCTAATTCTACATCTGAACGCTCTTTCACTATCACAATTTGACAGCAGGGCCTGGAAGAACCATTCATTATACCCACCGTCAGCTGAGGCAGGATGGAGGTCTGAGGTGACTGGAGGGAAGGAGGAAAGGTGGTCAGTACCAAGGCCAGAGGCTTGAAGTAGAAAGATGCTCAAGTCCCAGAGTGACCAGGCTGCACAACTCCAAGGGGCAGCATTTTCATCCCAAACCATGTGAATGGTAACCTCTGGAGGGTAATGGTAACCATAGTGCCAGCCTGTGTAGTTTTACACTATGGTTGGTCCTACTAAGCCTCCATTGAAAAATGTCCTCATTCTTTCATCCCTGAACTGCTGTGGTGGATCCAGCACAGAGCAAGACATTAGGGCTGTGCAGTAGTCCAAAGATGGCCTGTCTTGTTGGGACTCTTGGGAGAGCCAGCTACACCTTGCAGCAAGAAGAAAAGTGCTCAAATGAGGACATGCCCAGGCGCTGTAGGAGCCAGCGAGGAGTGGCTTATCTCTGCCAAGCGAGGTCAGAGGGCTGGCATGTGGGGGCAGTCAGCTCCCTGTGAGCCAGTTAATCCAGCCAGGCTGGAGGCTGTTCAGGCACAGCAGCTGAATGTGCAGCCTCAGTGTCTGGGCTTTGGGCTGCTTCTTGCTTTCCAGGGACACTTGGATCTGCAGACCCTGGGACCAGGTGGATACTGTGGGCTGTGTCTGCCCTTACCATCTCCCCTTGCTACAGTGTACATTTGCAGGCTCAGGGATGGGAACCCCTGCTCTCTTGGGCAAGGCCTGATGAGTGGGGGCAAAGAAGAGGGCAGTGGCAGAGGCAGCATCAGGGACTTCTCCACCACATGGCCTGATTCCTGGGTTTGGGGAATCATGTGTCCCATGCTGACAGGCCATGATTTCCAGGAAGTCTCTGGGGGGCCCTATCCGGATCTTCAGCAGCCTCTTTCGGGACTCTTGGGGATCCTGGAAGTCAGTCTCCACTCTTGGGGTCATGCAACTACTTTCCAGTCACCCACTGTGGGCCGGCTCCACACAGAGTGAGGCAGCGCAAGGGGGTAGTCCCTGCAGCCCTGAAGTACCTCTTGCTGTGCTCCCAGGTGCAGAGGACAGATGTGCCCTCATGCTTTGGGCTCGCTCTGCACTTCTGTTACTTCTCTATTGACTGCACACACTGTTTTTTGCCAGTCACCCTCCCAGACTGAGGGCCACTTCATTTCTGTATCTGTAGCTCCAAGCCCTGGGCCTCACACCTGTCGGTACTCAGTGTTTGTGGCCTGAAAGACTAACTGCTAGATTGTGCGTCTCAGGGCAGAGTGCACTTGTGAGTTCTGGCTGATCACCCCAGAGGCTGGCTGTACCCAGCGATGATTACATTATACTTGAGTTTCTAATTCTTACTGTAGCCTGGGCAGATTATTAACCCTGGCTCGGCATTTCATAGCTGATAAAGTTAATAACACCGTGGATTTATGTCCTGATGAGTTTAAACACTGCAAATAAATGGAAAAACACAAATAGATTCATGCAGAAAATCAAACACCAGAACTGCACTTCTGGTTGCAGTCTGCTATGCGGGTATCCACAGAAGGAGGCTTCAGGGATGCTGACTCAGTGGGTCCAGAGCCTGTGGGCTTCTGAATCATGGGCTAGCAACTGCTGGGAGTGGTTTTCCAAGTTTGCACTGGGCAGGGCTGAACAGGGGCAGGCAGGGCCCAAGCAGCGACTGGCAGATGACTTTCTGTGCCTTCCCCAACCGAGACTGCCTGGTCTATGGGCTCATCTCTGGCCACCCCAGCCTATGCCATGCTTTGTTCTGCTCACATCATAGGCTTAATCTTTTTGCCATCACAGACCTTTCCCTTTAGAAGACAAAATTCAAGGGCCAACTCCTCTGTAAAGTCCTCACCCTACCACCTCTTGGAGGTGGGATTTATCCCCTTTTTCCTGGTGCCCCCGGTTCTCTGAAGCATAGATAACAGGCCAGAACCAGCATGCAATGGTAGGTACTTCCCCTCTGAGCTTCATAGGGTAGTGGGTAGTGGGGTCCCTAGCCTCCCATAATCTGCATTATTCTTCCCCCCGCCACACATGCTAATGTCAAGATTGTAACTAAAAATCTTAGATAGAAAAATCTTCCATTTCCCAACTGGGCCAAATGAATAATAGCTTCTGCAAAATCTTTTCCATTTTATGGGTCTGAAATAAATCATCTAAAAAAACTGGCCACTTGCTATACAGAGAAACTGCTTTCAGAAAGTCCCTTAGTTTCCCCTTCCCTCTACATGACAGCCCCAAAGCCAGGTGATGTAGAAATCCTGGGCCTCCCCTACAGAAGATAGTTGGGAAGGCTCTTCCCAGCATCCAGCAAGGGGCGGGCACGCGACACTTGTGCTATAACCAGCAGTTGAAACAGAGAAGTTGCTATGAGACGGGCCAGACTCACAACAGACTCCTGGCTTGTACGTGCAGGTCTTGACAGGAGGCCCTTACTTTCATTCTGCAGATGAAAAAACTGAGACCCGGCCCTCCCTGGTGGCGCAGCGGGTTAAAGCACAGCACTGAGAAACTAAAGCCACTTCTGCATGAGTTCGATCCCCGCCTGCCCCGGAGGTGACCACATGGCGTGGCAGACCTCTCCTGA